AAACACATTTCTAGGAAGCATCTTGGGGCGTAAACACATCTAGTGGAAGGAATCTTAGTCGTAAACACCCTTCTAGGAAGCTTGTGGGGCGTAAACACTTGTGTTCACACATGTTTACAGATTTTCATTGAGGAAAAGACAAACACATTGACTTTAGGGTGGGACATTTCAACCATTTCCAAGGCTTTCACGGATAAACACGTATTGACTATCAAATAAATAAGCATCATCCCCCAGTAACCCAAGCAAACATCATGTCAACTTTCACCCTTATCAAGGAACGTAAACCCTTCCTTATCACTCATATCCTTCCCTTATCAACGTAAACCACTCCTCACAATATCACAATTCACTTTCTGTGAACTTCTAAAGTTGCTCTCAATGTATTCAAGCTTCAAACTCTTAGAACACAAATTTATCAAAGGCTCTTCCCTGATCTCACGTAAGTGACACAAACTTGGTCAATGAATGTACACCTTATCTTGTTATTTTCATTTTATTTACACATAAATTTATGTGTTAACAACTCTAGGGTATCATAATCTTCCTAACTTCATCAAACACTTCAAGTGTTTAGGATCAAAACTCTCATCTCATCACTTCAACTACACCCTCCAACTACCCAAGGTGAGTTTCATACCTCACTCTTTTCAAGTTTTCATTCTTTTTTTTTGGGGGGGGGAATACAAGTCAACTCTTGTTTAAATCCATGGATATTTGCACGCATTTGTATGTTTAGGGATTTATGTGTGTTGAAATGTTATTATTTCATGTTAATACTCTCCAAACTTGAGATTTTACAAATCTCGTGAGGTTAGAAACTAAGTTATCTTTGTGGAGTTTTACATATTATGGTATTATGTTAAACATAAAATTTCTAGGTAAAAATATGATGAGTTACACCCAAAATGGTAAATTTGTGGTTAAAAATACTTTTACCACTAAAACTTGTGCAAACATTAAAACATAATAGATTTCATGGATTTATATGAGATTTTGGTGGAACTAGTGACAATATTTTAGTCACAACAAAAATAGAATATTTTGTTTACAAAGATCTCGACAAAATTTTGGGTATGTCAAAACACCCTACAAAACTTGGTTATTTTTTTTTCAAATAAATGTTGTTAGTAAAACAATCATGTTATGTTGATACCATTTCAAGAGTTTTGAACTTTGAACATTATGTCATATTTATAACCTATTGCAAGTTGACAAACTATTAGTGATTATTTATAATTATCAATATAAATAAATTTATCAAGTTGAAATACAAAACGGAGTTTTTACGACAGAAATATTTGTGTGTCATAAACTGTCCATCATAAAACTTTCAGAAATACAAGTGATAAGCTGTATGTCATAAAGCTGTAAAACGTATGTCATAAAGCTGCATTCATAACTTTACACAAGAAAACATTATTTGCATTATTCCATAATGGGACTCAAAACTCGCGTAAATTCCGTTAAGGCTCTTGTGAGATTTTTTTTTTTTCGTCGTACCTACCTAGGAATATACACCCCATTAAGGCTCTTGTGAGATATTACGAGGAATATACACCCCATTAAGGCTCTTGTGAGATATTACGAGGAATATACACCCCATTAGTTTTATAAAATACAAAACTATGTTTGGTATATTTTGCAAACTGATTTCACAACTTCGGTCTCAGGGTTTTAAGACCACAACATCTTTTATATACAGAAAATATAGGATTTTCTGGGAACACTTTCTTTTCGATAACAAACAAAGGAAAACCAAAGAACATGCATACAGTTATACACGATCTTACAAAGAGTACTCACTCTGCTAGTTTTACAAAGATCCAGAACTATGTTTCGTATATTTTGTAAACTGATTTCACAACTTCGGTCTTAGGGTTTTAAGACCACAACATCTTTTATATACAGAAAATATAGGATTTTCTGGGAACACTTTCTTTTCGATAACAAACAAAAGGGAAACCAAAGGACATGCACGCAATTATACACGATTTTGGAACAAGACTCACAAACTACTTTTTATAAGAAAATATTGGATTTTCTGGAGTTTTACAACTTACTATGAACAATGATATTACAAAGCTTTCTTACAAAAATGCTTATGAACTCACCAACTTTTTAGTTGACGTTTTTCAAAACGACTTGTATTCTCAGGGATCTAGTAGGCACCTATTCACCACGATCGAGGTTTGGCGTCGCTGCATTGTGTTATTTCTACTTTTGTTATTCGTGTTTAACTTTTGAACAGAACAAGTGTTGTAAACAGTGTAAACTTGATATTAATGTATGAATGTTTGAGTTGCTATGTTTCATTACTATTCAATTGTTATGATACTGCACATGACGTCCTCCGCCCCGAAAGTTTCCTCCGTTTAGGTTTGGGGGTGTGACAGGTTTGTAGGTTCACAAGTTAGTGGGTCGAACCCAACCTATATAACTCGTTTAATAAATAAGCAACACATTTTTAAGAATGAGGTTTTTTCAACATAAATTCATAAAGTGATTAAAGTAATTAACATAAAAAAAGGTTTTTAACATAAATTCATAAAGTCATTAACATCCAAATAAAATTGAAAAATGAAAACATTCATATAAAGTGGATGCATTCTTCGTTCTTGATTCGTGCGTATCTAAAAATGACAACATGTTTTTTTTTCTTTTTTGATTATGACACCTCAAACATAGGTTAGCCACATACAAATACAGAAGGAATACAATGATACGAAATATTACAAATACGGAAGGAAATCAGATTTCATTAATAATTAAATATATCTATTTTT